TGCCGCAGGACGTCCATCTCTCGGGCGGCAGGCACGAAAAGAATCCGTAGCCAGAGGGACGTAACGCTTTTTCGAGAACAGAAAACGTCTCGGGCCGCAGCGGGAGCAGGGGACACCTCAGGAGCACCAGCGGCACCAGCAGGGAGGACACCGCGGACCGGCGCTGCAGAGGTTTTTTTTACGGTCGAGTATGAGCCATGGAGAAGTACACAGAGTTCTCTCCATAGTATGAAACGATCTGAGTGGGTGGGGAGGTGGGGGGGGGGAGAGCCGGATCCACCGGTCCCGCCAGACCTCCTCGGACACCGGCCCGATCGCGCCATGCTGCGACGCCTGACGTGCACGAACTTTTGTGTCGAATTTTGTTCAATTTCAAAGATTACAAATTGACCAAGGTTCAGCTCAAGTTCAGCGAATAATTCTTTTAAGGCTGCGTGTGTAATGCTTTTCGTTTGCTTTTCGTTGCAGAGATGGTCAGCAAGGGTGATCTCAGTTCGAGCGTCGACTCGATGGGCTACGACGGCGGCCTCTTGCCTCAAGGTGCGGTATGAAGCCAATCGGTGCCTCCTCGAAACCGTTGAGGCTTTTCAACACATTTATCCTGTTAGGCAGTGTGAAAGTGACGTGTGCCTCTCTCGTCCCTCAGACCTGTCCGCGGGCATGGAGACCATGTCGTACGACTGCGGCGTCGGCTCCCCCGGCTCGCTCAGCGTCCAGGGCCAGCAGAGGACGAAGCGCATGCGCACCTCCTTCAAGCACCACCAGCTGCGCACCATGAAGTCGTACTTCGCCATCAACCAGAACCCGGACGCCAAGGACCTCAAGCAGCTCGCGCAGAAGACCGGTCTCTCCAAAAGGGTGCTACAGGTGAGCGCCGGGCGGTTAGGCAGCCCAACGAGCTCGGCACGGCGCCGGGCAGTGCGGCCGCCCAAACTGCACCACTGACAAAAGAAACTACATGGCCGCACAACTAGAGTTCTATGCGGGTTTCTGCCCGACTCTACGGGACACTGCTCAAAGCGGCCTTCCTTCTTGCTCTTGCTGTGAACCTTTTCGTGATTTCTGATGACTGTATGTCGCCAGGTGTGGTTCCAGAACGCGCGCGCCAAGTGGAGGAGGAACATGATGCGACAGGAGAACGGGCAGCAGGCGGGCGCCGGCCCCCACGGGGGCGGCGGAGGGGGCGGCGGCGGCGCGAGCGCGGGGGGCGGCGGCGGCGGCGCGGGTGTGCCCAACCCCGGCGGCGGACCGGGTGGCGGTGGCCTGGGCCTCGGCCTCGCCGACGCCACCCTGGAGGAGCTGCACCACCACCACGCCCACCACCTCGTGGGCCCCCACGGACCCATTAGCGCGGGCGGCCTCACCCTCGCCGACCTCTACTGACAGCACGCTCGTCGGCGCCAGGCTCCCGTCGGGTGCGCCACGTGACATTGATGGTGAAAGCCAGTAGTCGCTACCGCTACCCCTACTGACTGCGCCTGCAGCGCTAGGGCCCCAGAAGTGAACTGCCGTGTCGTTGACAGTGAAAAGAACATTTGTGGCGCTTGGTTGATGCTGGTGCGCTCCTGCACCCTCAAGTGTTATTTGCCCATACGATTGATGTAATGTGCCCGCGCTGATAAATCTCGATCATTTAGAGAGTATCGAAGAGTATATCGAGGGGACGACATTCCCTCTTCATGTTACCTGTCTCATCCTTGTCTTTCTACACCAGCTCCCATGAGTTGCTTAGTTCTAGTCAAAGTCATTTCCGGGATTAATATGTAAAACTTTACGATAATTTGTGATATATTTCATTACTTGTTAATATGCATAGGATTGTTTTGTTTTGTGGTGACTTCACAGCATATCCGCATTGAGTATTTAAAAAACAGACGAAGTGATATAAGAGTTTTCATCCGCATTCCAGTGTATCATTTAGATGCGCGTCAAGTTATTAAATAAAATGTCTATGCCTCAAACAACGTAGATGTGAATTTTTGTGTTATATTAATATGACAATTTGAATCTTCCCATTTCTAACACATCCATCGGATACACGGTTGGGGGATGAGGATGGGGAATAGGGAAAGGGCCGTAGGAATTCAGGGCGCCGAATTGACTTTGGTCCTAGCCTAGGGGCTGTCAAAATAAGATACGGTTTGGCCGACCGACCGACCGACCGACCGACCGACCGACCGACCGACCGACCGACCGACCGACCG